ATCCAAATGGCCAACAGACACATGAAAAAGTGCTCAACATCGCTCGGTATCAGAGAAATCCAAATCAAAACCTCAACGAGATACCACCTCACACCCGTCAGAATGGCTAAAATTAACAAGTCAGGAAATGACAGATGTTGGTGAGGATGCAGAGCAAGAGAAATTGTCCTACGCTGTTGGTGGGAATGCAAGCTGGTGCAGCCACTCTGGAAAACAGTATGGACATTCCTCAAAAAGTTGAAAATAGAGCTACCCTATGACCCAGCAATTGCACTACTGGGTATTTACCCAAAGATGCAAATTTAAGGATCCGAACGGGTACATGGACCTCATTGTTTATAGCAGTAATGTCCACAATAGCCAAACTGTGGAAAGAGCCAAAATGTCCATCAACAGGGGAATGGATAAAGAAAAGGTGGTATATATATATATACATACATACATACATACATACCTATACAATGGAATATTATGCAGCCATCAAAAGGAATGAAATCTTGCCATTTGTAATGGCGTGGATGGAACTAGAGGGTATAATGTTAAGTGAAATAAGTCAATCAGAGAAACACTTGTATCATATGATGTCACTGATATGAGGAATTCTTAATCTCAGGAAACAAACTGAGTGTTGCTGGAGTGGTGGGGGGTGGGAGGGATGGGGTTGCTGGGTGATAGACATTGGGGAGGGTATGTGCTATGGTGAGCACTGTGAATTGTGTAAGACTGATGAATCACAGATCTGTACCTCTGAAACAAATAATACAGTATATGTTAAAAAAAAGTAGTAGGAAGGGAAAAACAAATGGGGGGAAATCGGAGGCAGAGAGGAACCATGAGAAACTATGGACTCTGAGAAACAAACTGAGGGTTCTAGAGGGGAGGGGAGTGGGGGGATGGGTTAGCCTGGTGATGGGTGTTAAGGAGGGCACGTATTGAATGGAGCACTGGGTGTTATACACAAACAATGAATCATGGAACACTACATCAAAATCTAATGATGTAATGTATGTTGATTAACATAATAAAATAAAATTTAAAAAAAAGGAACTTACCAAACTCAACATCCGGAAGACAAATAACCCAGTCAAGAAATGGGCAAAAGACATGAACAGGCATTTCTGCAAAGAAGACATCCAAATGGCCAACAGACACATGAAAAAATGCACCACATCATTTGGCATCAGGGAAATCCAAATTAAAACCACAGTGAAATACCACCTCACACCAGTCAGAATGGCTAAAATTAACAAGACAGGAAACAAGAAACTTTGGCAAGGATGCAGAGAAGGGGGAATCCTTACACTGTTGGTAGGAATGCAAGCTGGTCCAGCCACTCTGGAAAACAGTATGGAGTTTCCTCAAGAATCTGAAAATAGAGCTACCCTACAACCCAGGAATTGCGCTACTAGGTATTTACTCCAGAGATACAGATGTTGTGAAAAGAAGGGGCACATGCACCCCAATGTTTATAGCAGCAATGTCCACAATAGCCAAACTGTGGAAAGAGCCCAAGAGCCCAGATGTCCTTCAACAGATGAATGGATAAAGAAGATGAGGTGGGTGTATATATATAATATACACAATGGAATATTACTCAGCCATCAGAATGGATAAATACTTACTATTTACATTGACATGGATGGAACTAGAGGTATTATGCTAAGTGAAATACGTCAAGCAGAGAAAGACAATTATCATATGGTTTCACTCACATGTGGAATGTAAGAAACAGTGCAGAGGACCATGGGGGAATGGAGGGAAAATTGAATGGAAAGTCATCTGAGAGGGAAACAAACCATGAGAGACTCTTCACTCTAGGAAACAATCTGAGGGTTGCAGGATGGGAGGTAGGCAGGGTAACTGGGTGATGGACAGTAAGGAGGACACGTGATGGAATGAGCCCTGTGTGTTATATGCAACTGATGAATTATTGAACTCTCCATCTGAGACTACTGATGTACTATGTGTTGGTTAATTGAGTTTAAGGAAAAAAAGGAATTTCAGACTGTCTTTTCAAAAAGTGATCTGCATCATTTTAACGAAGCCTAGTGGGATGGACAGATTTTCTCAAAAAGCCTTCATCCATATCACATTTGTCATCCACTCACCTTCTAAATCTACATAATATCCTATCCTGCTTAAGACATATTTAGGTCAAATAGATATTAGGAGGAAGATTTTTTTTTTAACTATTTGAACTTAAAATGACTATGAGTGTTTAACATTTAAGAACCCATTCTGAATGTACTTGAAAAGTTGTTATAGTGGGTGTTGTTCTTCAGTTTCACTACCTTATGCTCTTTGCTTCCTATCAATGCCTTTTCACAAGATTCTGGATTTGGTTAGATTAAAAACATGTAAGTATTGTGGGGGACAGGTTAGGGGGTTAAGGAAACACGGATTATGGTCGTGGATATACTGCAGAATTGGAGTCATCCTGGACAAGTAACTTAGACTCTCTGGGCTTAAATTTTATATTATCTGTGAAAACAGAAAATCAACCAGATACTATTTTTTTCCACAGTAAAATAAATACTTATTTCACTTTACAATGTAAACCCATCTCTAAGTCATGATGGAGGCATTCTCTGGGAAGATGGGGAATTTTGCCATTTAAAGAACAATGGCAAAAATCCTATTTGAACACTAATCTCTACTATGGGGATTATTTAATCATTTATTTTGCCACTCTATTTTGTTGAAAGTTGTATAAGGTCCGCCTGCCAACTGCAGGCTTCATTCATTTGATGTCCATGAACGCAATGCACCACAGAAAACTTGACACTCTATTTGCTTGATTCCCTAGCCTCCCATCACTTCCTTCTGGTCCCTTTTTGTATTAGAAACACTTTCGTGTTTTATCTCAGCATTCCAGATACCCTGTCCCCCAGATGAGATCATTACCCAAGGGCCTAAGGTAATGGCTCTCCCACCTCCTTCCGGCTGGGCCCCCAAGCAAGGGTCAAGTTCCTCTTCATATATTTAAAAGAAAACAAAACAAACAACAAAAAAAAAACAGTGCATGCTATAGTGGTTAAGCAACATTTAACTTTACATCAACAGATACCCGATGTTTCAGGACCTAAAAACAGGCATATTTTGTTTAATGCAATACACAAAGCCATTTTCATGCATTAAGATTATAGAGACTCAAAATTAAAATGTAATGTAATTTCTTAAAGCACTTGACCATTCTCCATCCACTTGCTGGACCTTGCTAGGGATTTGATGGTTAGCGTCAAGGGATCGTGATTTGGATAGGATCCGTGGTGTAGGCTTGATGGGTATGAGGGAGAATGATGGCCTCCTTCCCTATCGGCCTTCACACCACCAGGCTGTATGACTTGAGGTCAGTTTCTTAACCTCTGGTGCCTCAGTATCCTCATCCATGCAGTGGAGGTAAGACTGACTCACAGGATTGCCGTACCTGTTGAAGTATTTGTTATTACGTGTGAAGCGCATAGAACATTACCCAGCATATGAGCACTGTGTAAGCGATGGCCCTGATTATTACATGAACACTTTGAATACAGACTTGCCTCTCATTCCTCTGTTCAGTCTAGTTTGGTGGGTGCCAAAATGTAGTGCACACAAGCGTTACTGTATCTGGTTGCATTCAGTAATTTTCAAGGGTAATTGTCATGTTTGTGTGTATTCATTTTGTGCTGACCCTATAATATTTTATAGGTATACAATAGATGAGACTTTATTATATAAAATAGGTCTGAACACAGTCCTAGGTCTGTGCTAGGATATTGAGTAGAGTGGTTTAAACAGTTGAATTACTTTTCCTGGTTGACGCTGAAGTCAGTTTCTTGATCCCTCCAAAATGAGTTGACTTCCCTATAATTGTCTTCTGTTCTTTTCCTATCTTCCGCATATGTATTTTGCCTTTGAAGATTAGTTTGCAGTTTTGTTAAGTGACGATAGTGATGCTTGTCTTTTACAGTGTGCTGGAGAATTGGAATTAATATATGTTCATTATCATTAAAAGGATAGTGCATACAGGAGGCATTCTGTAATTGGTGGCTCTTGTTATTTCCCTAGTAGAATTGACCCATTAACTTTGTGGTGTATATCATTTTGTTTGTCACAGACTTTATTCCCTCCATTCTTTGAATATCTGCTTTTTCCAGATACAGTTCTAGGTGTTGGGAACTATAGAGGTGAACAAGGTGGGAGAGGTCCCCGCTCTCAGAGTTTATATCATTCTCTGATGTGTTTCTTACTAATGTATCTAGAGTGAATGTTTGAATTCATTTTTATTTAGTTCCTTTTAGATAGTTTCAATGTACTATTGACTATGTTGTTATTGCAACAACTCGGTAGAGGATTTACCCTGATAACTGTGTTTTGCCCCACAGCTCTTTCAAGCACTTGATTGGAGGATTGGATGATGTTTCCAATAAAGCATATGAGGATGCAGAAGCTAAAGCAAAGTAAGTGACATTTTTTTTCCTTTGGCCTTAGTCTTGATTTAAAGAAAATGATTTTGAAGAAAAATAAGATTACATATTTTATTGAACTTAAAAACCCCAGCACTCTGACAGGAAGAAACTAATTCCTTAGAAGGAAAAAAAAAAAAAAACAAATTTCAAGGTAATGATTAAATACTATGCTTACTTAGTGTGTCTCTTCTTAAACATGAAATCATAATTTTGGAAGGAAGATCATCTCAACAAGGGAAAATGGTAAGTTTAAAATCCAATATAAGTAATTGAATCCAAACACATTATTTCTCCCATTGAAAATATTTTTAAACGAATGGTGGTGGTTGTGTTCAATAGTTGTTTGTGAAATTGTATGGAAAGTAATAAGCCTGGAAACATTTTCTGGTGCAAATACATTGTTGATTTACATTGAGCTGGAGTGGCACAAAGATAACAGAATGATGTGAGATAGTACGTATCCCATGAATTACCATTTTTGTATAATAAAATACAATTTAATCTACTGATAATACTTTAAAACAAAGCTTTCATCTTTTTGACAAAGATTAGAAATTATTTGAGATTGGCTTTTGCTGAAAAAAATTCTAGGTTATTTTTTAAAAATTGTGATCTTTAGAATCCTGCCCTCTTTTTTTCCAATGAGCGAATTTAAGGAAAAGCAATTCAGTATTGATATCACACAGGACACCTGAAGGATTAAACTGACAAAAATTTATCAGTACCTAGATAGCTCAGGGATAGAATTTGGTTAGTTTTGTAGTAACCTCAAAAGCAAATAATAATAATAATAATAATAATAATAATAAAAGTGCTTTTGTCTTGAGAATCCAGGAAGATTAAAAATTTGGTCTAGCACTTAAAAAGTACCATAGTTCATTTCAGCTGATAAAATTCCATTATTTTAAAGCAGTCTAAATATATTCACAATTTCTTCTCTATATATTTGCTTTCGTTTCCTCTGCTCTTTGGAGGGACACAGACATATGTCCTGAGGTCAGACGGTAGCAGAGCCTTTGCAGAGATTTGCTTAGACAATTGCATGAGCCAGTTTTAACACCAAACGCTACACAATGATGGGGATTGCCGGTACTGTGGATGATAGATATTAATTTTCTGGTTTTCTATAATAGTTTAAAATACACATTAATGCTAAGTTTAGACTTTAGTTTCTGGTATTCGCACTAATCCTCCTGAGATGGAAGAAGGGACCGTTTAAAATCCTTACCAGTTTTAAAAATTATAAAACTCCCTTTGTTATTATTGGACTTTATCCTTAGAGGAACATGTGCTGTATAAGAACTCATAATTTATGTTAGCATGTTTTTTCTTAGGTATATATATATATACAGTTAAGATTGTCTTGGGTCATTTCATATACATATAGATATCACATTGTATACATTTTGTATATATAACTGGTGGTAATATTAAAAATTCATCTAAAATCTACATGAGCAACCGTCTAAATACTTCTTCAGTTACTAGAAAAAATCAGAGGTCTTTTAAGCTAAAGCATTCTTTGGTCTATTTCTGCTTCCTGCTAAATTTTAGATTCTTGTAATGAAAGTTTCTGTATAACTCCTATCTGCCCAAAGTTGAGTCCAGTCACAGGCTTAAAGGTGGGCGGTGCTGGGAAAGCGACTTGAATTGGCTGTCTCCTTCTTGGTGTCCCACTGGCTTTATAAAGTGAGCTGTGTGTGCATCTCATGAATTCTGGGCATTTGTGGGCTCACGTGCTCATGCCTCAACCAAAAGGAACAAGGAAAATAAATACACTGAGGTTGAGATCAGACAGTTACAAGATAGGAAGGGTGAGGATACTTCTCACTGGAGGGGAATCAGTATGAAGAATACCATCCCGGACGCGGGGTAGGAACCTTGGGTTCTGTTTCTGCCTCTGTCATTTCCAGCCAAGTGATCTGGGTCATGAGTTATCACTGCCTCTCAATGTCCTTATCTTACCTTTAATAGGGTATTTCTGTGATGTAATTGATGGCAGTGTGTAGAAATACCGTGTAAATTATAAAGGACTGTAAATGATATTGTTGGTAGTAGTAATCACTGGAAGTATATCCTAGTGCATTTGATAAATTGCTGCATATTGATCATGTAAAACTTCCTGGACAGGAAGTATTTACTCTGATGTACACAAACTACTCTCACTTTGGCAGCATATCCTAAAATTTAACCTAGACTGGAAGATATCCATAAATACCATTTTTGTAAAAATGGTAACATTTATTTAAAAGAAAGTTCAGGGGTTCCTGGGTGACTCAAATGAGTCCATTCATGTGTTTTAATCTACAGCCACTTGATCTGAGTATAGACTTAAAGACCCTGCACTGAGTTTCTGTAAAAGTCAGCTCAGGTCATGATCTTAGGGTCATGAGTTCAAGCCCCGTCTTGGGCTCCATGCTGTGCATGGAGCCTACTTAAAAAAAAAAAAAAAAAAAAAAAAAGTTACGATTAACGAGCAAAGAAGGGCAATAAAATGACTACTTCCATCTAAGTGGCTTAGACTATTGTTAGTTGAGCCAAAATTTGATAGAACTTAGTTATTATATATCCATGGATATAAGTTAACTAGGAGAGATTAGTTTAAACTTTTCTAGTTCAATTAATACTAAATCCAAATGAATGCATAACCCATGTTCCTTAATATTGATTATTACTTAAAAAAGGGGAATACCTTGATGAAAAAAAAGTCTGAAACCACTGATCCAAATTCTAGAAAAATTGATAAATGTAACATTTATCCCTCAAAACAGCCAACTACATGAATATATCCTGACAAAGGTCTTTGTTACACCCTTTACACTGTTTGCAAAAACATAAAAATACATAAAAAATAATATCTGAAGATTTCTGAAGTTGAAAGTATCATTTTAATTAGATGTCCTATCACTCAGAGGTAAACTCTGAATTATTCCCCAGGCAAAGCTTTGTAGTTGAACTAACAAGTTTAAATGTCTCTTTGTGTTAACACTGTTGTCTCTTTATTAGATTTCTTCCCCTTAAGTACATTGTGCCTTCATCGTTGTATTTAAGGAGCTTCTAAGGTTTGCCATTTCAGGGCCTGTGGACATGCACTAATTGGTCGAAATTCCCTGGATAATTCTTATAAAGCTTCTACATCTCTATATAGATCACAGAATCTGTACCATTTAGAACCGAGGTGCTGATTGGCTCCATCGTGTAAGCATTATTTTTTAAGATCTCCTTGATTTTGCGGAATCCCCTAAAGATGAGATTGGTGTTTCTTAAAGCCCCACTAAAAGGATCACGTTATTTCTCCACATGAAATTATGTTGGTGGTGTCTCACCGACGATGCCTATTTGGGTAAAAAGAGAAAAAAAGTAGGCCTGACTGCAAACATCAATCAAGGTTTAGAAGTTCATTTGTGAGAAACTCAGCTAGTAGCATAATCAGGCCGCAGTGGCAGGATGGTCCACAAAAGGTACTGAGCATCGCTTGCATTCCGTGCGGGAGCTGGTCCAGGAGATTGCTGGAGAGGTATGTCCCAGGGAGGTGGTTCTCAGAACTCCTCTGTGCTGGTATGTGCCTTCCACCTGCCTCAAAACATCTATTTCCTACAAAGAAAATAATTCTTGACAGGAACTTTACCTTTATGGCATGTTTAAGCTCCTCTTGATTGCTGCTAATTATCCACTAAGGGCTTCTCTTTCTAAAATATGAAGTTACCATCACAAAGATATTAGAAGAGACAACAGCAGATCAAAGTTAAGCATCATTAAGCCTTATTTAGAGCAGAAAGTAGCATGTGTAGTGAAAGGTACACATTATTTCCTTTGGGAATATGTATTCGTTCAGTTAATAAACATTTAGAAATTTACTTAATAATGGGTCAGGAATTGCACTTCACGACGTGCATACCAAGTACAAAACCTGTTTTCTTTTTTTTTTTTTTTAAGATTTTTATTTATTTCACAGAGAAAGACACAGTGAGAGCAGGAACACAAGCAGGGCGAGTGGGAGAGGGAGAAGCACGCTTCCTGCCGAGCAGGGAGCCCGATGAGGGGCTCAATCCCAGGACTCTGGGATCATGACCTGAGCCGAAGGCAGACGCTTAACAACTGAGCCACCCAGGCACCCCAAAACCTGTTTTCTAATACGAAGCATTTTGCAGTTCTGACAGCTCTGGGAATATAGATTCATAAGTGCATTTATTTGTGGTCTAAATTGATGATTCTCAACATTGTTCTTCACAAGGAACTTTCTCATACAAAATTTACATAAACCTGCAAATGAGTCCAGTCATATGTTTTAATCTACGACATCACTTGATCTGAATATAGATTTAAAGACCCTGCACTCTCTAGCCGCCCCCGCCTCACCCCCGCCACAGAAGCATTAACCACGTTCATTCACTTTGACTCATGCGCTGATTTAGCCAACAAATATTCTCTGTGTTCCTACAAAATGCTACATATAAAGCAGTGAATAAAATAGACATATGTCTTGCCTTCATGGTGCATATGGGGAGAGAGACACACATTACTGATTCCCTGAGGAAATGACATTTTATCTAGATTTGAGCTGAATTGTAAAGAATTAGCTGGTACTGGCTAGGCAAGAATTAGTTGGTATTAGCTGGGCAAGGAAGTGCAGAGAGCATTGTAGCCAGGGAAATAGCATTTGCAAAGCCCCCTGTGTAGGAAACAAGACTGCCTCGTCAAGGAACCAAAGTACCAACAAGGCTGGGACCTAGAATGCAAATGTCAGAGATCGGATGTTAAAGAATTAGGAAAATCACTTCAGGCTTGTCAGTTACCAAAAGAGATCAGTTGGTTTACATTGTAATTGAGCACCCTTTCCTCCGCGTTTGGAGGAGTACAGAGTGAAAGCAGAGAGAAGCAACAGAGTATTTTCCAGGGGAAAGCTGATGGTAGATAGGGCTAGAATGAGAGCAGTAAGAATAAAGAAAGGCAGTTGAGAGGCAGCAAAGTCAGCAGGTCTCCTGAAGGAA